CTTTAAATAGCCATGGGAAAATACACTGTTAACTGTTTCAGAGACCCACTTGTCTACACAACTAAAATGATCTTTATCTCCTCTAACAGACCTAGCAGAGAAGCAAGTGGTATCTACTTTAGCTATTAGGGCATTGCCCATGTGTTTACATCACTAATACTTCCTGTATTTTAAACCTTTTATGTTTATGGAATTCTGTGTGCTCTGACCAAAGAGCGAACCTGAAATTTCCTCTGTAGCTGAAGTAAGAACATTGACATCTATGCGCCAGGCCTGACTCACATGCAAATCACTTTACTATCTGAGGAGGAGGGACTTAAACTAGGGTTCTGGGTCAGCCTGGCTGCACTTCAGAAAATCAATAGCATTGCTTAAACGTAGGAAAATCATGTTTTCATACCAGATATTTTACTGAGATTATATGGAGATGTTTCCTCCAAATTAGCTTTGCAGCATAAATTTTCAACTGTATTTATTGACATTTCATTTTCTTTTTTCACATCACTGGATCTTAACAGTTGTGAACAGAGATGTTCTGTGATAATGTGAATTTTCTAAGATATATTTACAAAAATTTGAAATATTCTAAGATAAATAAAGGATACATATACTAATAGATTTTAAAAACCTAAAAAATGTTCAACAAAGACTAAACTACCAAAACAAAAAAGAATGGAGAATTTTTTTTAAAGTCAAAGAAAAAAGAAACCTATAGAAGACACTGGGACCTGAAAATATTTTACTGGGTAGGAATTGTTAATTTTTATTTAGAGACTATGACTTAACACTGTCAGATATATTCCAAGGAAGATAAGCCTGTTTCAGCTATTGCAATAAAAAGAAGTATGCTTAAGTGATTCAAGGTTTCATTTGATTTCATTGACAATTTTTCTAAAGTGAAGCTTCTGCAAAATATCCATTTTGTCTTAATAGTTTTGCTTTATTTTACTGTGTCTACAGGCCAGCTGTTTACAGTAATTCTGGCCTCACATCATCTAGATTACTGTATTCAATATGGCTTTCATAAGAAGTAACAATTGAACTAAGAACAAAACAGTATTTAGAGTATGGCATTTGCCACAACTGAGGAATTATTAATGAAGTCACAATTTGCGTGAAAAAATAATCAATATTTGAACTTACTTGACTCAAATTATAAAAAAAGTCTATATACATGCTGGTACCATTGTTAATAACATTTTTGGTTCCCTCTAGGAGATGTTCAAGAAATAAAAACATGCAAAACTCAACATGTATACCAGAATTCCATTTCATTCAACTCTCTGAGGATCCAGATCTACAGACTGTCCTCTTTGGACTATTTTTGTTCATGTATATCTTGGCCCTGTTTGGAAACCTGCTCATCATCCTGACAGTAAGCTCTGACTCCCATCTCCACACACCCATGTACTTCTTCCTCTCCAACCTGTCTATAGTTGATATTTGTTTTATCTCCGTCACAGTTCCAAGGGTGATTGTGGACCTCCAAAGTCACTGCCAAGTCATCTCCTATGTGGGCTGCCTGACACAGATGTCACTGTTCATAATATTTGCGTGTATGGATAGCATGCTTCTGTCTGTGATGGCATATGACCGGTTTGTGGCCATCTGCCACCCCCTATATTACCAGGTCATTATGAATCCCACTCGCTGTGGGGTCTTACTTCTAGGGTCTTTTCTCTTTAGCCTTGTGGAATTACAGTTGCACTATGTGGCCATATTAAATTTTTCCAAATGTGAGGATTTTACTGAAATTTCCAACTTTTTCTGTGACCCTTCTGAAGTCCTTAAACTTGCCCATTTTGATACTGTCACCAACATCATAGTCAGATTCAGTATAGGGACTCTCTTTGGGTTAATTCCTATTTCAGGAATAATTTTTTCTTACTTTAAAATTGTTTCCTCCATCATTCCATCACCATCATCAAGTGGGAAGCACAAAACCTTCTCCACCTGTGGGTCTCATTTGTCCATTGTTTGCCTGTTTTATGGAACAGGACTAGGAGTGTACTTCAGCTCCTCTCCATCACATAGTCCAGGAAGCAATGCAGTGGCCTCAGTGATATACACTGTGGTCACACCTATGTTGAATCCCTTCATCTACAGCCTGCGGAACAAGGACATTAAAACTGCTTTAAAGAAGATAGTTATCAGAGCATTTTAATCACTGACATTCTTTATAAATTTACACACACACACACACACACACACAAACACACACACACATACACACCACACACAAACTGTACATGTAAATCCTAGTTAATGACTCACCCATTATTACTAACAGATACTTCACAATATTGCATGATAAAGTGGTGGTCATTGAGGTTGCACATATGGTGGGTGGGTAGTTTTGGAAATGCACAAAATTGAAGTTGGAGAGATGAAACTTTTCTAGAGATGAATGGTGCACATTGTTGAACAGCACCTTACAGTATGAATGAGAGCAACATCTAAATGCTGCTCATAAGCCAATTTAAAGTGGCTAGTCTGCTGAGATTGTGTTTTAGAAATGACAGATAACCAGTCTTGTCAACCAAGCTGCCTTGAACAGGCCATGAATAAGGAAGAAATGAATAGACATGATTATGTGGAAGGGGAAAGCTCAGTATGCCTCATCCTTAGCCATCCTAGTCTTGAAGGTTTCACTTGGATTTTCTCTCCCATTGATCCTGAGGATAGCTTGAGACAATGATCAGTCATGGAAGTTAGATATGAGACCCTCTCCCTGCCCCTCTATATCCCAGAAATCAAGCTACACTCTCCTGTAGTCTGTCCTCTCTAAAGACAACCCTGCTTAGAGCACTTAGGCTGGAGTGAGTGAATGGATGGGGGGCGGGGAACCAATCTAATTCCAACTCCTTACAATGGCAAGATAAATTCATGATCCTACTCAGTACCTGACTCTTCCATTTCCCTTGGCATGCTGGTTAGTTTTTTCCAAATAGAGTCAGTGGGAAGAATGAATATCTATTGAGGAAAAGCTCCCATTAGAATTTTCTGTAAGCATGTCTATGTGTCATTTTCTTGAGTGATGATTGATGTGGGAGGGCACTTTGGGCAGTGCTACCCTTGGGTAGGTGGTTCTTAGAGGTATAAGAAAGGTACTTGAAAAAGAGCTTAGAAACAAGCCAGTAAGTAGCTTCCTTCTATGGCCTCCACTTCTGTTTGAGTTCTGACACCAGCTTCCCTCAATGATGGACTGTGATTGGGATGTATACATCAAATAAAATGTTTCTTACCTAAGTTGCTTTTGGTCATGGCATTTATCACAGCAGTAGAAAGCACTAGGACACATGTACACTGTGTCTGACCAATGAAATGGTGAGGGACTTCCTCCCCCCAGACACACTATACAAGTAATAACCATTTGTTCTGTAGGATGTTTCTGAGGGCCACTGAGGGGCCTATATTTCCCTTTTAGAACCCATATCATGCTGTACAAGGCAGGTAACTTTCCTTTTCTCTCACATCAAGCATCTCACCCTTCACAGCCCCACCATGCTGCCTCTGGTATGAGGTCCTTTGAATACACTTCCACTTCAAGGTCTGATAATGTCTGCTTCACACTATGGCCACAAGACTATCTCCTAATTGATTAATCTTGTGTCACCTCCTTTCTGGAACCTGCTGCCCTGACATTCTGGTCTCTGAGTTATAACAGTGAAGGACTGGGAAGATATCATTTTCCAATCTATGCACTGGGATTTATGGCTATGTGGAATTGTCTGGAGCTGATTTCTTGTGAAGGTGTTTGCCTCCCTCCAGAATGAGACAGAGTGAGAGCACTCATGGGGTTGTTTGGAGTCCACAGTTGTTTACTCTGACTGACTTTGTTGGTAATGTATGGTTACTGTATTTAGAGAGATAGCCTTGGATGAAGAAATGTACTTAAGGTGGAAAATTTATAAAAGTAAAATAAAATTGTGATTTAAAGAGATGATTCAATGGCATTTGTTCTTAATGTATGGATCCTGGTCTTAGTCCACTAACTTCCTGATCATTGTAGATCACAAATGTTACCAGAGGGAATGTACCCTCTGAAAATTATATGTACACTTGAATGTAATACTATATAATAAAGTTTGTCTTTTAATTCACACCTATATTTTTGAATAACATTTGTGAAGGCTTTTACCACGGTCAGTGAAACAAATTAAAATAGGATTTTAATCTCTTCCTCCTTTCCCTCATCATTTTCATCTCCAAATAGAGCTTGTTAACTGATTTGGAAATAAAATCATTACAATTTTTTTAAACTTTTTCTTTTTGTGTTTTTGAAATAGGATTTCTTTGTGTAACAGCCCTGGCTGTCACAGAACTCACTTTGTAGATGAGGCTGGCTCTGAACTCATAGATATCTCCTACCTCTGTGTGGGTCTTTTAGATGTAGGTGGAGGCACTGCTGGGCAGAGAAGCCAATAAGAGACCTTTTGAGGAAGAGAGGTCAATCTCAACAGTGGGATTTCCTGAGAGTAAAGATCTCTCTGGCATATATCTTGAGATTGAATCTTGGTCTTCAGATTACCACACCAGAAAGAAATAGATTTCTGCAGACACAGAAGAGCACATTCAGTAGAATTTAACAACACAACAACATCATCAACAACAATAGAAGTACTAAACAGAGCCCAAACTGTGATAAAATGGAAAATGAAAAATTTAGGACCTCATACTTAATGCATTGATAACATCTCTTCTGCCTCCTCCATTAACAGCAGGAATTCCTTAGAGACTGCAATATTTTGAACCACTATGAGTAATCACCAGCTCTGTGCATTGAGTTTCTAAGGTTTTGAAAGAATAATTAGTTAGCCTGTCCCTCCTGGTCATCACCTTGATCTGTGTAATCTGGGACTATTTATGCCTGTTTGCTCTTCCTACAGTGTTCTTTCTGCATCAGGAAGCTCTTGCTATTATATTCACTTCAGGATTCATGAGTGAGCCTTCACCAGCCAACAAGCAAGGGAGTTTTGCCATATCTACAGCCATTCATCATGGCCACACAGACTCACAGTTTAGTCATGTAAGTCCTGAGGGAATTAGGATGAAGAAGAGATGACAAGAATTATTATTTCTTTCTAATCATATGAACTGTGATAATTTGGGTAGCCTGATGGTATAATAATGGTAATAAAAATTTAAGTCTCTGTACTGGGATCTTATGTTCTTAGTTGAGATGGTAGTCCTCAAATTCTCATCGGACTATCCCCAGTGTCTCTTCTGCATACTCCTATGACCAAAGAGAGCAGCAAATATG